CTCTTTTATGGTTTTCCACCATACAAAAATTCAAAATTCATTTATGTAATGTCCATTCCTCATCAATCCAATGAGCTATCAAACACATGTAGTTGGAATTTTGAATTGAAGTCCAACAATCTATGGTGAGTGACATACGAACTTTAGATTTCTTAGAATACCTTTTCAAACATTTTGCTTCTTTTAGATATATCTTGTAGCATAACTTAGCCATAGTGGTGTGAGAAGGGCATGTAAATCTTAGTTCAAGCACTTCCAACATTTTTTTAAAACCTTGCCCTTCCACAACTCGAAATGGCATCTCATCCAAAGTGATGAATTCAACAACTGCTTTTTTGCATCATTGTGCATTATACGGGTGATGAGTCATTGATTTATTAAAAGAAGCAAAGAATAAGGACTGTCCCGCCTTGGCTTTGTTTGGATTCAAACAATCAAAATGTCGCCAAAGGTTTTTAGTCTCAATTTTAGAAGAATGGCCAACAAAATCATTTTCACAATAGTTGCATTTAGCTCGATGCTCACCTTTTTTATTTATAAATTTTTCATAATGATTCCACATTTAAGATGTTGTGCTTCTTTTTCATTTAACAGGTGGAGCATCTTCCGCTTATGAAGCTCTAGGTTCAGTAGGTGTTGCTGGGACGGTGGTGTTATTGAGAGCTTTAGACTCATGTGCCCCTTCCATAGCTTGCACATTTTCCATAGTAACTTTAAAAGTAAAAACTATATAGCAGTCAAACCAAATCAATCACAAACACTTTTGGTACTAGGTATATCACATTAACTAAAATATAAACAAAATTATAAGTTTTCAACAACATAGATAAAATCTAAACACTTAAATAGTAATGGCACAAGCACTCACCTTCAACCAAACAATAACTATAACTTCAAAATTGATTGCAGAAATTAACTAAATACATTAAAGGAATTCTTTTATCCAGACAATATCATGATAGAATCAGAACTTCAAAGTTTAAACAAAGTATAAACTTGATAGTTTCTAACAAGGTTGGAACTTAAAGGCTATATATATGGATATCTGGGCTCGCAAGAAGAAGCAACAAAGCAGCGAAGCAAGGGGTTTTTACATGATTCAAGAAATAAGGTCCGTAACTCTAACCTCAGAACACTAGAACAAAATACTGAAAAGCGCGTTTGAGTTTCATTATCATACATTGCATCACTACTCATATTCATACATTCCATTAATTTTGTAATTTTCAGTAAGACTAAGAACCAAAAGGCAAAAGCATTAGACCATTAGTTAAGAATCAAAACAATATTTATATATAATAGAGGAGCCTGGAGGTCGAACCTGGAGCTGGAGCGTGCTACTGCGTACGTGTGTCTGCTAGGCTGCTAACAGAGTAGAGTTGAGGTTGATACTGGAGGTGGAAGCCTAGAGCGTGCGTCTGCTAGCTGGAGCTAGAGGAAGGACAAGAATCTCGCACAAGCGCGATGAAGATTAAGCGAATAATGGAGAAATTGGCCAGGCGAACTTGCAAAGTGGTGGACGTCGGACGGAATGATAGAGCTAAGGCACTGGTGAAGGGCGCCGATAACAGCTGAAGCGGTCTCACGGGTGAAGATGATCTCGCAGAGTCACGGGTAGACGAATGAAGAGTAAAGACTGATGAGACGAGGGTTCTAGAGCTACCATCTTGGACTGGATTGATTTGGCTCTTTTTTTGCCAATTGACGGTAGCAGATAACTGAAGTTTGAAAAAATATATATATATAATATACACGGGCGGGTATGGGCCACCTAAGGGCTAACTCGTTACCTACCTATTTATACTTATACGGGTATTACCCCCCTTATCCTTTTTCCTTCCCTCACTAAATGGGTATGGGTTGACCCGTTTATAAACGAGTTGGGCAGGTTTGGGCGGGTTGATGGGTTTTCGGGTATATTGCACACCCCTAGTGGCCAATCAATTTGTTGGGCATGGAGTAGTGAGTGCATGAGTGGTGATTGACCGTGAGATCATTGTTCAATATTTTTAAGCGTTTAGTGATGAAACAAAAGCTTGTTGAGATCAGGATTTGTGGATAATGGCCATAATTTTGCAAAATTCGAGGCTTGTTGAGATCATATTTTGTCGTGAGGTAACGGTCTAGCTAAAGTTTTCGAGTCATAAGGGATTCATAAACTTGAATTGACTTAATTAGGTTATTCATCATGATTTGGGTTGGCCCTATTGTTGGATCACTTATTGGACTTGACTTTTTAGTTTTTAGGTCAATTTTCTGCTATAGTCATGGTAAACAACGTTTTAGTTTTAACACAAATAATACCCCCCACATGAAAGTGGCTAGTAGTTATAAGTCACATGGTACGTTTGAAAGAGGATCGAGACATCGTTCCATTTCTGTGCGCCCCTTCTTGATAATATAAATTGTTCCCTCCCTTTTGTCAGTCCTTCTTGTTTTCCTTGCCATTTTTTGATCCCTAAGCTTTTGGTCCTGTATTTAATGTGGATTTGATATCAATTGATTTATGATTATTAATGATATTCATTATCTCTGAAAATGTATCTGCTTCAAAAATACTATGTTCCTTTTTTTGCTAAGGCATGGTGTGATCTACTATAACATCAAATTAGTTTGTTTTTTGGGGGTAGAGGAATTAGTTCAGCATTAGACGCATAGAGCAATGGTATATGTGATTGTCAAAGAGGAAGGTGATTATTGATGACCGTTCAACAAATGAAGAAAGTCTATGGGATCTATCAATTTTTTATTTATCACAGGCATTTTTTTATCAGAAGCAATTTTATTATAGACACAATCGTTATGAGAGATTAACTGATTTCACTATACTCAATCCCATTAATCGTGGGTTTCTCTTATTAATAGCTCTATTGTGCTGTGTTGTGGCCTGCAATTGATGGGAGGCATTGTAATGTCATAATACGGATCCATATCATTTATGCTCTTTATATACTTTGATGCTCTGATCGCACCTTTAAACCTCCTCACCTGCGCGACCAACCAGACGTTTCAATGAATTTATTTTTATATCTTAAAAATGTTGATTGGATGCCATTCACTACATAAAATAAAATAAAGTAATATATATATATATATATATATAATATAACTCTCATCTTAATATCAAATCAGATACAAATAAAATTTAAATGTATCAACCTATTTCATTTGATAGACTTTCCCTTGTTTTTGGGGCACAGATTGTTTTGATCAGAATGTTTTCAAATCGGAGGGGTAGTCCTCCCCCTCGATGGCACAAGTGTTTTCTAACGGATAGCATAGCAAGGTAAATAATAATGTTTAAATAACAAAAGAAAAATATCTTATTTGACCAAAAACAAAAGAAAAAAAGGATTTTAGAAAATAATACATATAATAATGTGTGAAACTTATCGTGTTGCAATCATATTTGGGGGAAAAAAACGACATGCATAAACAATTAAAAAACTTTACTGAAAAACAATTTCAAAAAACTTCTGTTTACGATAAAAACAATCCAAACATAAAAATTCCATTATAATCATTTGTCTTAATATTATTGGGTGCACTTTGATGCATGTATAGTTAGGAGAGTACACAACAAGCATTGCTATCACTTTGGTTATTAAACAAAATAATTTCAGAGAAATTTTTGAAAAAATATTTATATTCTGTTTAATAAAAATATATCACATCAATAAATATAAATATAAATTAATTTTATTATTGATAATAATAAACAGATTGAACATACAAGTAAAAATTAAAATAATATTTTATTATTTTAAAAATATAGTTATTAAAAATAATAATATATTAAATTTTATTTAATTGAAATGATATAATGTTATACATTTTTATTGGAAAGAAGATAATAATGTGGTGTATTGAATCTAAACAAAAATCTTTTCTAATTTTAATGGTACTTGGTTTTATCCCTGTCAGGAAAGAAATCGGCGGGAGAAAATCATTGATGGAACTTTTTGGAAGGATGTGGGAGATCGACATGATAATGCGCGAGATTTAACAACGCGAAAAAAATTGAACATTTTACCCCGTATTGTGTGTGGTCCAGATTGGTTAATGAACGTCATCGCGTTGAGGCGATCTGAAATGCAATCCACACATTTTTGCCCCACTCATTACTCATCGGATCGTCCTTTGTGTGTCTCCCTTCTTTTTATTCCGCACTCTGTTTTCTAAATATTCTTTTTAATTTTATTTATAAGTTATTCTTTAAATAAGTCACTTTGCATAAAAAAAAAGATCATTAATTATTTTCTTTCCATTACACTCTTTCACAATTTTTAATGAATAGAGAATAAAATGCCATAGGAGAAAGAAACTATTCTTAAAAGTGATGCAGTTAAGGATGATGAATTGAGAGTTTTGTTTTTTTATTTTTGGGACAACATCAATAATTAATAATTAAATTAAATTTTTTTTATGTCAAGGAGGTAGTTAAAAGTGACTTATAAATAAAATTAAAAGAATAAATTAATACTTTTACCAACCAATTGCATCAAATTAGAATAACCTTATTTTGCATTGCATGGGTGCTTGAAACTTGTTCAATAGTAAAAAAGTCAGGAATAAAGAAAACATTGAAAGGTAGTACAAAATTCATGTCGAGAATAAAATAACAGCGAGGTATTTAGTTTTTTTGGCTGATATTTAAATTTTCAACCGCGGTTCACATCACATTACCCGGTTTCACCTACCACAAGTATTTCACTTTTTTTTAATATTATTATTTATATATATATATAGATATATTATGATCTGTTATCACATTAGTTGAAAATTTTGCAACCTGTTTTTTAGTTGACCAAAAACAAAAACAAAAAACGAAATCAGGGCCGCACATTTTAGAATGCTGTGGTGCGGCTGCGACCCAAGCGTTAGCGTTTCGTTGGAGAGTATTTATGCGCATTAAGTAACATAATGATTGCAATTAAGGCCGGTTCTGTGCACGAGAGTCTTCGCAGGCGAGTCACGAGACGAAGAAGCACGCCTCTCCATATAACAGCTTCCTTCGTCGCAATCTGGCTGGAGAGAGGTCAGATCTCTATTCGTCTTCCCTCTATGTTCCCGGGTTCTTTTTTTCTGAGCCTACGTGCGATCCGTTCCCCCCCCCCTTCGGGATCATTTTTGTTCTGTGTAGCAGTTACCAAAGGTAATTCTTGCTTTTGTTCTGGCTTTGAATCATCCGTTGTTTCTGCGTGCCGATGAAACATTTGCTTTCAATTAGTGCCGCATTATGAAGATGCTGGCTAGGCGGCTACTGTGGTATCATATTTGTTTGTGCTCGAAGATTCATGTCGGTTGAAAATCATAGATTATTTCTGGTTAATGCTCTTCCGGTGTTTTGAAATCTTCGCTAAATACATAGACATGGTTGAGGTTCGTCATTCATGTACCCTTGGTTTTATGAGATTGATCAACTCTCATAGATAATGGATAATTGCATGCTTTGGTTCTTTTAAAAATTTAGCAACTCTATCTCTTCTTACCTGGTGGAATGTTCTCTGCAGGTTTTATGATAGCTTTTCATATATACAATCGCTTGATTTCCATAAATTGATTGCGCAAATATTTTCACTAAATAACCAAGTTGAAAAAGAAAGAAACTCTTAGAATATTGCAACAATTTATCCAAAGCTTTCAATTTGGAACCAAAATAATCGATAGACGTTTCATCATATTACTCTTTAAGCAAGTAATTAAAATCGCAATTTATTTGTTCTTTTTTTTTTTTGTGCTAGAATTTTTTCATGTTGTTTTGTGGTTATTATCATTAAATGGTACTCTGGATGCAATATCAGATCGCGTTGATCCTTACAGTTCTATTTACCAGGCATACGTCTCTTATGCATAATTTCCTCTGGGTTCTACTTGTCGAAAAGGAATCTCTTTCACTCTGGCCGCTCTAAAACAGTCAAACTATTCTCGCACCTCCAGGAGGGTGTGGGGCGATGATGAGCGAGTAATTCTGCTTTGTGTTTTACGGAGATCAAGATCATCTGACATATGGAGATTGTGCCGCGTCACTGTGGGCTTGACACTTGATTATGGCTAAGATTACATGTTCTTGTGTTCCCAGAAGCTCTTCGTTATTCTTGCACTGAGTGAAGAAATTAAGGGTTTCGGAATTGGCTTCTGCAAAATTTATGAGCAGTGTGGATTGTCCTTGATATTGTATATCTGCGTGGAAGAAATTTAGGCGTCTAGATGTAGCACTTCAGACCAGTGCTATGACGATTAGGTTTTCCTGTTTCCATTCCGATCTTCACAAGAAGCCAAAGGTAAGTGGGATATACTCTGCGCTGCCATCAATGTCACGCAGTTGATATCATATGATTCTTTATAATTTGTGGTTTTTTTTTTTGGTCGATCGTGCTTTCCTTTTTCAAACAGAAAGTAGCTCAACCGTCTATTGAATCTATGGCGAAGACTCTACGAGATGTTTCCCAAAGTCAGGCCTCTACAAGTAATGGTGTGCCTGCAGTCTCAACCCCGTTAATTTCACTGAATGATAAGGGTGGCAATTTGATTTCAAATGAGTGTGGATGGAGGTCAGAGGATCTGAAAAGCAAGTTAGTCAATGACTGTGAAAACGAAATTTTCCATACCGGATGTCTTAAGAAAAGTCTCTCCGTGGAAAGTGGACTTTACCATGAGGGGAAACTTTACACTGACAACTTGACCGAGGATTATTCAGATCCTGTATTTTCTTGTAATGATCCCGAAAGCCACAACGAGTCCGCGATTTTGGGATGTAGAATGGATCGTGACACAATCACAGCTGATAAGGGGAAAACAAACCAATACTCAAAGATTCATGACAGCTTGGTTCCAGGAAATAATGGTTCGATTTTTTCAATTGAAGATCCAACACCTTTAGAAAAAGATGCCCCAGAAAATTCTGACACTCCATTATCCGGTGGATATGCTGGTGATGACCATACTTCTGGTCCCAGTGCCTCAGCTTTGATGCTAAAGTCCTGTTCTTTTCCTAATATCATGGCTTCTGCACTATCTTCAGGAATATGCTCTTACGATGAACTTGCAGCTTCAAGGTCAAGATCTTCTGAGGATCTTCAGGTTTTGAGCTTGAGGCTGAAAGATACGTTCATCAATGAGTCTGATATTGAAGTTACTCGGGGACAAGCAAGAGGAAACAAGATGGGTACAATTGAAGAAAATCATATGGATAGCTCCTTCGATGATGGTTATGATGCTCATCCACTCTGCGGTTCAGCAAGAGACTGGGTAATGCCTGTTATGGATGACATGAATGTAACTAAAATCCTTGAAGGAGAGTCCTCCGTTCAGCATTTGGATGACTTGGATAACAAGGATTTTAGGATTAAGCGCATTGAGGATTGGGTGACAGGTCTGGAACATGATGGACTTCTGGAGGAAACAACTGAGTCGTCTGAATTTGTTGATCCCTTAAACGGTGATTGTATTAGTACCCCAGAGAATGTGACTGCTACCCGAGTGGATGGTAATGTCACTCCTAGCATGGAAGCTGTTAAAAGATATATTTCTTCTCTGAGTCCTAATGCCACAACGGCCCATCTTGCTAATTACGGTTTGGTTGTGATCCCGCTTCTTAGTGTGTTTGTAACTTTGAAGGTGCTCAATTTGTCTGGAAATGCTATCGGTTAGTAACAATCTTGTTTTTGGGTTACTTCTTACATTTAACTCTATCAATCTCTTGAAGCAAACACGGCTAAGTTATCTTTGCTGATCTCTGTTTTAATCATATTTCCAGGCAGGATAACAGCGGGTGCTCTTCCTAGAGGACTGCACATTTTGAATTTGTCGAAAAACAATATATCAACAATTGAGGGACTACGCGAACTAACGCGACTTCGTGTTTTGGACCTGAGCTACAATCGTATATTGAGAATTGGCCATGGTAGGATCAATTCTAGAATATAAATTCTGCGCTAGCTAATATGACCTTTAAATTTTGATAACTGAACTCTTCATCTACTTTTGCTTTGTTGCGTGTCAATTTTTCCTGCAACATCAAAGGGCTCGCTTCTTGTTCATCTCTAAAGGAGCTGTACCTGGCTGGAAACAAGATCAGCGAAGTAGAGGGTCTACACCGCCTCTTGAAACTGAATGTACTGGATCTTCGCTTCAATAAATTATCAACAGCAAAATGTCTAGGTCAGCTTGCTGCTAACTATAACTCCTTGCAAGCAATCAGCTTGGAGGGAAACCCAGCCCAGAAAAATGTTGGAAACGAACAACTGAAGAAATATCTACAAGGCCTTCTTCCCTATCTTGCTTACTACAATCGGCAGCCTGTGAAAGCCGGCACTTTGAAAGATGGTGCAGATCGGTCAGTGCGTTTAGGTATAAACGCTCATCAGTTCGACCGCAGCCTTAGATTAGATCACAAGACCGCAAGGAAGGGCAACCATGGCGGAGGATCTCGGAGGCCATCAACCCCTAGCACCTCCACTCATGCTCGTAGAGTGCAGACGGTGGAATCATGGAAACACTCCAAGGGGAAACAAGTCCACCTCCCACCAACTGGAGCCAAAGTGTCCTCCCAAGGCCGAAATCATCTCGACGTTGTGGGTAAGCTGTTAAACTTAGGACACAGTCTCTCCATTCGCAAGAGTCGCAGCGAGGGAACTCTTGGAGCTTTATGAAATGATTTTCAAACTGCAATGTTAGTTTATGTTATTGCCTATGTTTCACTGTGCTTCTGTTCCCTGCTGGACTAGTGGAGTTTATTCACGTGTTTGCTGTGTTAGACATGGATGACATGCCTTTTGTGTTTCCGGCGTGATATAACGTGATAGGTTTTTACTTGTTTATTTATTATTTCATTCATTAGCTCAGCCTTATCGTTATTTCGTTCGTTCGTTCGTTCGTTCAGCCTTCTGTAACATGCTTCTCTTTATTAAATTATTCCAATTTGAGATGATATATTATTTATTCGTAAAAGTAACAAAAATTACTGAATAATTTAAATTTTTAATACAACCATTACGAATGGATACCTGAATGTCAAATGCAAGTGAAGTTCACCACCAAGGGAAAAAATGCAAGTGGAAATTTTTTTGGGCATATAACTGTTAAACGGATATAGTGAAATACTATCTAATAATCATGTCAGTTAATAATATCTTTAAGAGGGTACTGATCAAAATTATTGAACGTTAATAATATTCATAAAAGCTTTATTAATAATAAAATATAATTATATCATACAATTTATATAATCAACCCTACTTAATGAAATAAAATATCTTCTTGTTGTAATTAGTGTGTTCTAACCCTAGCATATTATTCGATGACAAAAACCCTCACACACTCTCCCTCTTTTATTTTCTGCTTGTTTTTTTCCCCCCTTAAATGCTTGCTCTGAATTGTTGGTTCCCTAAATGGAATAGGGTGCCAAGATTTGCTACCCAAAATCAAAACATAAACACCCCGCTTTGCAAAGACAGCGCAACATTAATGATATTTACATCACAATCCATAACTAGGCATACCAGAGTATAAACGAAACTTGAATTAATAATCGACACTGCATGTGGCGAAATCTAAATTACCACCACAAGAGAACATCAAGTCAAGCCTATGGAAATCTACAACTTTGTACTTGAGCTTCTTGATATTTCAACCAAATGTATAAAATTTTACAACGGTGTTGCTTAAATACACAGGGTACACTGGGTATTAAAGATGAAACATGGAATACCACTCCCCCAAAACCAGCAGGGGAAAGGTGCACAAAACGATGTGTCAAAAACATATTTCGCCACAAATTACGACAGAAAATGACTACTAACAAGTTCCAGGAGTTATTCAAGCATTCCCCTGAAGTGAGGTCGATATTGACGCAGTTCTGACCCATTATTCAGCATCTGTTAACATGTCACAAGATAATTAAATTAAGCAAGACAACAACACCAGAACATACGTGTTCTTCAGAAACAGACATAGTTGGATGATCCTGTAGCCATTCCTATAGTTTTGTACAAATTATGCCACACAATCTTAGCAGAAATACTAAAGTGGAACGCAGTTCATGTGATAAAATTTCAATGTTCTTTAGGAAGACACCAACGAAATGAAAGACTTCTGACAGCAAAATATGAATTTCAGAGGTAAAGGAGGGCAGACTTACATCTAAAATGTTTACATCCAAAAGGCTTTAATTGAAAAGAACGTCATCAAGTATGTCTATTAACAGGTGCAAAGCAGTAAACATATATTATTTTGCATACAAATACAGAAAAAGGAAGAGACAACGGAGAATGAACTTAATTCTGAATAAACAGAACAGCACTTTAATACGTCTTACCAAATAATTCTTACAGCCACAAGAACCTCAACCAGGTTTATTTTTAGAGCCAGGCAAGCAACAATAAGTCTAGAGATACAAGCTAGGAAGTCATGCATAAAGTGAACAAGACCGTAGCATAGCATCACTTGGCCATATTATTCATTTATAAGCAAAATCAAAGCCATGCAGCAGACAAAACAGATTTCCAATGGCCTCCAAGAAGACCATGTGACCACTTACACATTTTGCCAATCTAGGTTGTTACAGGAACTATTAAATATATTCAATTCTACTAGTCAGATTAGGTCCCCGTAATTTGCATTAGTTATATGCATTCACCCTCTTACTCAGGTCGGTGCCAATATTTGGGTGGAACAGAAAAAAGAATTAAACTTCTGGAAAACCAATCAATGTATCAATACATAAATTTACATTTTAATAACATAACAGGGCAACATTTCTGCCAAAAGTTATTGCTCTGCAGTAAAATTCCAACCACGCATGACTCCAGTTTTAGATGCTCAATACCAAATGGAAGTCTAAGTCAGATGTAATCATGATGATAAAATAATCCGTGAACATAAACTTGAGGAAAAAATTTTTGATGATAAGTTAAACCATAGAAAAGTCCAAGGTCAAAGCCCACACCTTTCTGTTCATCTGATGCATCGTGGTACTCATGCTCCTCCTCAGGCACCGGGTAGAGCTCCACCTCTTCCCCAACTATTGCTTTGCCGGCGGCCTTACCGCCGTTGCTTCCGTTCTTCTCATCCGGGTATCTCACAACCACAACAGGACAAACACAGTGTTGAACACAATAGTCACTCACACTCCCAAGCCTACCCTTCGTACTTCGCTTAGTTGCGCCAAAGCCTCGACTCCCCATGATCACGGCGCTTAGTCCCAGTCTCTCGACTTCCAAGCAGAGCCGCTCCTTCATGTCATGGTCCTTGACAATGTGGATTTTGAACGGGATTTTAGCATCCACCAGTGGTTGAGCCAAGTCGCTGGCTTTGGCGGTCGTGAAATTGTCGAAATCTTGCTCCAACTTTTGCTGCGACTCTTCCGAGGTAGTGTCGGCGTCATTCAGATTAAGATCACCGGAGCCCCAGTCCGCGCCGTAGAGAACGTTCATAGGACGCACGTGAAGGAGGATGACCATGTCCCCAGGGCGGAGATAGTTCTGGGCGGCCCATCGGACGGCATAGGCACTCTCCTCGCTCAGATCAACGGCGATCGCGATTTTGCGCTGGGCACCAGATATCGAGACGGACGCAAGGAGAGAGGAAGGAGACGAGGGTTGTGTGTTGGACGCCGAAGGTGTCGGAACTGGGCGATCCGGTTCAGGCCGGGCCGCTGATTGCCGCTTCATGCTGACAAACGCCGAAAAAATGGCGAGGTGACCGGAAAGTCAGGAAGAGAGAGGAACCGGGGTCAACGGAGGAATTTCAAGCAAACGTGTGATCAAATCGAAACCGCACCGGAGTTGATCAAAGATTCAAAAGCTTCTCGCTCTCTTGCTCAATCCGGATTTTGTACATAATTTATTTGCCGAGGGTGGTCCTTTCCTTTGTGCGGGAGGGGCATATTGGTCACCACATAATATTCATTCCGGATCAAATCTCGATTGGTCGCCAACTCTTCGCTACTTGTTGATCAGGATTGCTCGTTACTTATTTGAAAGTGGAATTAAAAAAATTACATACACACACATATAATTTTAAATTTTTTATTAATATATAATTTAAACAAAAGTACTTTTTGAATATCAAATTAAGAGATTTAAATTTAAACCATCTAAAATTGAAATTGTTGAACTGTTACTGTCTTGAAGTCATTACTTTCTAGTTCCATCCAGCAACTACTCTGAAAAAGTCTAGGGCTGTAATTTTTTTTTTTTTTATGGAAGTCTAGAATTGTAATTTAGATGAACAACATGTTAGTGTGAGCTTATGACCCCACACAAGCCACCATGGAAAAATTAAATTGTGTGTTTGGATTAGGAGAAATAGTTAAATATATTAAAAACATCATATTATTTATAATCTGTCTAATTAAAATACTTTAAATAATTTAAATAAAATATTATGCCATATTTTTTAAATTAATTTAATTATTATAATTTTTTTATTTTCTCTCTCTATTATCATTAATATTATAATTAATTTATATTTAATATCATTTAAATGTTACATTTTTATTGGATAGATCATAAATAACGTGGTACACCTAATCTATCTAATTATTTTTCTTGGATTAAAAAATTCACAATTGAAGTTAAGAGAAAAATTTGTGAATTTTATATGATTTATGTTTGGATATCTTTTTTTAAAAAATGAGTTGAATAAATTAAAATTTATTTAGATGTGATTCAAAAGTCAATTGATATGTATGATAGCAAAACTAGAGATGAATTTTTATGTATATATAAAATATATTAATAAATCAAAAATCTTAATTTTTAGAAAAAGTAGAAAAAATATAAAAACGCATTTATAAATAAAAAATCTTAACTTTTAAAAAGGTATAACTAAATGATAAAATTCAAATTATTCAATTATGAAAATTTAAAATAAATTCATAGATTATAAAATATTTAATTCACATGATTTGATCTCTAAATTATATCATGAACCTAATGCATCTATTTTGATGCTCCAAGTAGAGTTGATGAGGATGCTAATATAATTTATAAAAATAGTGACTTATCTTGTTAATTTTAATATGAGATATATTTACATAAAGGAAAAAGATCTATCAACATCCATTAAAGAATAAAATAAAATAAAATAAAAATCTATTAAAAAATAACATAATAACATAAGATAAAATAATTATAACCACCCTAACTATAACTATACAAAATAATATATATTATCAAAAATATAATATCGCCCTCTATTAGATACCTCATATATCCTACTCATGGTCATCTAAACTTTTATCAATTTGTATGAATTATGCATCAACAATTGAATTGCACAAGCAAAAACCTGAAGAAGAAGAAACTTACTCTCTCTGTTCAAAAATGTAAGGCAGTTTTTGAGGAGTTAGATGTTCAAAAATGTAAGGCATTTTTAGTCTTTTGAGATGTAATTATTTTCTTTTTTTTCAAAAGTATCCCTATTGATATTGACTTTATATTTATTGTAAGGTATTTAATAATGGTAAATATAAAAAAACAGGGTTAGTTTGAAAGTAGGTAACTATTTTATTGGGGGTCATATTTGATTAAAATACCTTACATGTTTGAACGGAGAGAGCATGTGAGAAGAATAAAAATGAGGAGGTTATATTGCAAAATTCCAGTCCATTCAAGTTCTAGAATGATGCAAAGCCTTGGAACTTAATACATATCATTAAATTAAATTAGTTTCACATAATCACAACAAGGAAATAACTTACAAATATCAGTGCTTTGAATAGAGAAGGAATAGTGATAGTTAGGTATGCCAAACTGTTCCAAAAGGCTTGATAGTTTGCAAGCAAATTTGAAGACATTACTTATGATTACACGGGGAAGGAGGTAAAAAAGAGTTCATGTTTGCAAATCATAACTCGTGTTTATATTAAACAAACATACTAGAGATTAAAAAAGGGTGAATCTAGTCTCTTTTATTTAGACCTCTTAGGAAGAAAGGTTAGAGAATGAGAAATAAGGCCATAGTTACCTGCCAAGGAGAAACCAACAGAGCAGATCTGGCAACCTTGACTAAGGAAGACACCTAACAAGAATCACATAAAATGACTACTGCAAACTAATGGGTGGTGAGTGATTGATGAAGGTGAGGAATTTCTTTGAAGATAGGCAAGCCAAGGACGAGAGCTCTGAAGAACGAATGAACTCATGAAGATAAGGAGAGAGAAGGAAGGACTAACAAACTTTTAATGCCCCTAACGTCTCCCTTACGCAGCATTCGGTAAAACTTAAGCTCCCTAGATTAGTGTAATAACCTAAAGTTTTATGTAAAAATAGTAATAATAATAATAAATAAAAATAAAACAAAATAAACAACAACAACAATAATAAGTAATTAAATTAAAATTTATATGAGGTATTCAAATATATTTTTTAAAATTTTGGGAAAGATATTGTAATAACCCAAAAATTTAAGTAAAAGTTTAAAATATATTATGAGGTGTTTCAAGTATAATGTTATTAATTTTGGAGCGTATACATCAAGAGGAAGTGGTGGCTTAGTGGAGATTGTATTGGTGTTATCTTGTTCTGGGTTCGAATCCACTAGGTGAAAATAGTGGGATTTTCTTTATTTTGTTTTGGCCCTTTAAAATTACCATTATGCCCTTGTTAATGATCATATATTTTTCCATTTCTTCCTTGATTCATTTTTTCAATCAAAATGTGTGGAGAGAGTGAGAGAGGTCTTAGATCTATAAGCCTCACCTCCCGTCTTCTCCTTTTCCTTCTTCGTCTTTAGCTATCTCGGCATTAATGTGTACAGAAGCTCCATCTACTGCTGTTAGGAGGTTGAGTCATGAGTTCTTCCCTATGTGCTGTCCATCACTTTCTTTCTCCTCTATTGTAATGTCATCTTGATTGTGCATGGGCTCTGGATTTTCATTCTTCCCCCCCTTTTGTACTTGCCATGGTGTGAGGTGCATTAAATGTCATTCTTCTTCCTCTATGCTTGATCTACAATTTCTTCTTCTTTCCCCTGTTCTACCGCTGGCCTCCTTTATTTGTGTAGCAGTGGTGCCCAAATCTCCCCTATATTTCTTGTGGATCTCCTTAATTCCTCTTCTCAATACTGTCTTGATATGTGTAAAGGAGCTGCAAATTCCTCCTCTTCAACTCTCCCTTAATTCTTGAGTATGTATTGATCTATCCTCTTCCTTTTATCACTCGATTTGATTGTGAATGAGTAATTATATGATTAAAATTGTGATTTTTTCTTTATTGTTTGTTGTTGTGTGTGAATGGGTAAAGGTAGGGATCCGAAATCAGATGAGTTATGTTTTTTAAGAAGGTTCACTTGATTACTTTGGTAAGTGTAAGAGAAGGAAAATGAATTTAGATTTGAATTTTATTTGTGCTTAAATTAATTCTTGGTGGGATGAGTAAATATTTTATATATGTGTGTGTGTGATAAATCCAAATGTTGATACTGAGAATTATTGGGCAAGTAAGTAAAGGTTAAGAGACTCCATTGAATGGCTTAAAAATGATGCACATGAGGTGTTTGACACAAGGCTTAAAAGGGAGTTATAGCCCAACCAAGTAAATACCTTTGGTGAAATCTTAGGATATAAATAGAAGAGAATTAGGGAACTTTGAGTTACTTAAGTTTCTTTTAATTATATAAATGTTGAAAGAGAAATTGCTTGATTTGAACAAAGGTAATAAATTTTATAGGATTTGGAAGAAGAAAAATTTGAAAGGAATTTTAAGGGATAAAATTAAGGAATTTTGGAAAAAGCATTTGATTGATATTTTAAAGATCATCTTTGTTTGTTGGTATGGTAACTCTTAGGACACATAAAGTATTTGATGAAAAAAAAAAGGATGAGGTCAAGGCAAGTGGAATAAGTTATAGAAAAAGTTGTCCCTTTTTTTAAGACTTAAAAATTTTGGGTATGGTTTATATAGGTATTTTGGACGTTTATTGATTAAATTTAACATGTAATTTTATTAAGAATGATGATAAATTAGAGATTTTTTAACATGTAATTTTATTAAGAATGATGATAAATTAGAGATTTTCTTTTATATTCCTTTAAATTATCTTGGATTGAGGATTTTGGATATGTAAAATGTACAAAAGAAATAACAATGATATCACTTAAGTGTGAGGGAATTAAGAAGCAGACAGTATTGTAAAAGTAACTGATTAAGAATACTTTATGTACTTGGAAGTATTTCAGATAAGTGAATAGCTTTTCAATGACTTGTTAGCAAATTCATTCTTATAAAAATATTGGTTTAGCATATTCAGATGCCCTCTTTTTTATTTACATAACCATTTTTATTCCGCAAAAACAAATGATAGAGTATTTTAATTAATTAATTAATTAATTAATTTTTTATCATTCATAATCTTAACTTTATTGTTAACTTTCATGCATGAAAATGTTAATTTTATGTTTAAAAAATGATCAACTATCAATTTATGCATGAGATCTATATATATACAGATGAATTCATTTATGCTGAGTATGATTAGAAATGTTGAAAATAGATAACATATTAATTTTATCGACCTATGCATGTTTGATTCAAAATGTGGGATTGAATCATAACACTGGTTGCTAGCGGTAGTATCGTTGGCCCTTGGTGCGCCGTGGCATACTTAACTAGCAAGTGCTTAAGAGATGTTAATCCTGTATAATGGCCAACGCATGTGGAACAAAGGGTTAGTAATTTATGAGCATTGTACTCACGATTGTTTCACAAGCCTATGCCTATACTTGTCTTATGATTTCTAGCCGCACTTGATTACTTTGTGGCTTCAAGACACGCTTGGTTATTTATCTTTGTGAATTGTATGTTCACAATTGTTGGTTATTTACACTTGTGAATTATATGTCCACGTTTGTCAATCATTCAAATAAAATGAATTTTTAAGAACTTATTTTTTTAATTTTTTTTCTATTAAATAAATCATTATTCTATTGTATATGATTTTTTAAGGTGAAACTATATAACTCAATTGTAAAACGTAGGTTATAACTTGAAAATTTCTTTATTACTTTTTATTAACTGTGTATGTTTGGTTTACATATTTATATAAGATTGTTTATACTACAAAAAGTGTTTTAATTATAATAATGGTTATTATTGTGGAGCTCACAATTCTCTTATAAATATTTTCTCTTTTTACTTTGCTGAAATCTAAATTGGGACATTATTTATTGAAAATTTATTTTTAATCTCAGATAGTGAAGCTGACATTATACATCCTGCTATCAACTAAGAGACTTTTTGCCGAGCAAGGTGGAGATTTATTTTTTAAATATCTCTTTTTCACATAGTTATAAAATTTATGCATTATGTTTTGAAAAAATGGTTAGAAGCTCCACGCAGGCTATAGTTAAGGTCCTTATTTAGTTATATACTCTGTTTTTTGGCTAGATGGAGTGTTGCTCCCAATTTTAGCAATATTCTGCTTGTAAAAATTGTATTGTAGAATTTTTTAAAAGTCATACTTTTAAGGAAGCTGTTGTCGAAATTCTTACAAAAAAAAGAATTAAGGCTTTCGGTTTAAATAAAAATTATTTAGGTTATCCTAATTTCAATATAAACATAAATAAGTATTAAAAAATTTTCTTCAATTAAGGCTTAAAGGATGTATATTGATCACTCCTATATTTTAAGGCGTGACAATTAGCTTCTTTCGAAACGTCCATCCAGATCCTAATTCTAATGCTTGTTTCAATTTTTTTTTTGAGAATTACATCTCGATGCAATATAAAAAAATTAATTAGTACAAGGTACATTAATAATTAAACTAATACTATTAATAATACAATCAATTGTCAATAGTCTTAATTCACTGATCAATGGATTATTACAGTTAACTTTTTGTATGGAACTTTAATATAATTTTTTCCTTTTCTTTTATTCAAACAAGATTTTATAGAATTTTAATATCCTAATTAAGTTTGGACCAGGTTGGGGTGTTATTCAAACACACAGTAAATTGCGTACATGAAACACAAGTTAGAGTTTGATCCACTTTACCAATGATGGAGGGCCATGAGTGAGTAACGGCACATACAAGTTTCGTGGCGGAGAAACAAAATGAGAATGCCGAACCCAGCCAAGAAGAAGGAAAGTAGGAAATGGAGAGATGTTGAAGGAAGAAGGTGAGGGAGATGGGTCAATTAATGGAACATCAATTGCGCATGACTCACTGGTGATGCCGAACAAGAAAGCGAGACAGCATAGAAGGGATCATCAACGTGACCACCTTCTCATTACAATTACATTGACGCAGTACAAGGAGGTTGGATTAGGGAGCCAAGGGTGTGGAAACCAGACTACGAGGTTTTCTCAATCACATAACGCCGTAAGCCCTCCCCCTCCCCCCCCCCCCCCCCCAAAAAAAAAATGAATAGAACAACTTCTCCCTGAAAATGCTACGCGACAAATAACCAGAATAGTGCCGCCAAAATCCCGTGTCGGAGGAATAGGACGTTCCAATAGCGGTATCCATCGATTTACTAATCAATCTTTTTGCGAAATTTTGGTGTTATTTGATGCCGTCAAAATCCAAGCTGGGTTTTTGTTTTTTGGTCCCTCCCTGTTCGGGTGTTGGATATTATCGTTTTTGGTTGTATTTTTGTTGGCTAGGACAGCGCTTGATGCATCATGCACGGATCATCAAGTTTGGACAAGTAAAAATAAAAAACATTATTGATTATACACAAGGGATATACCAGAATCCAAAAAAAAAAAAAAACAAAAAAATTCTCTAATTCAATCTCACTCAAGTGTTGATCCTCTAAATAAAAAAAAAAAGAATCAAAACAAACGTAAACCATGTAAGTCAATAAAGACTTGCTTGGGATATCAAATAAATGATATAATAAATGTTACAAATTATCTTATAAGAAGAAAATGAGTTTTATATTCATTGCCCTCATCCTGAGAACGTTTTAAGACAATGATGCTAATTAAAAATTAAAATATTGTTGAACCTGCAAATAAAGCTTTATTTCCTACTCATTGTTTCAAATAAATTACAAGATTTATGCCTTTTAATTTACTTTCTAAATAAAACGACACCAATCCACACATTTTCAAAGGTAGACGGATCACGTGGCATCTCAAGAATGAACTCACGATAATGTTTTTTTTTTTTTTAAGAGCTAATGTTATATTTTCATTGATGATAAAAGTTTGAATTCACATTTCTCTTACGGGACAAACTTAACAGGTCTTTGACCTTTTTTAATAGAAAACATGGTGATTGAAGCAAACCCAAAATATAAAAGCCCAACAAAATTGTACCAAAATATAAAGATGAGAAAAAAGGGCCCGCTAATGGGCTCAAGTCTCAAGTCTGTTCAGACATGAGAATAACCGCCATAAAATGGCTTTCAACTTTCAAGGCTCAACTTGTAGATTTGACACCTTTCCCGCGGAAGAAAATTACATTCCAGTTGTATTAAAAAACACAAAAAATTACATTCCAGTTCCACTGTGAGGCAATGGCGAGCAGGTTGATTTCGGTGGATCGTTGGGCGGCGGGAAGCCAGGTGTATTTCCTGACCCACCTTCACTCCGATCACGCCGACGGCCTCTCTTCTTCTTGGGCCAATGGTCCTCTCTACTGTTCCCGCCTCACCGCCAAACTCTTCCCTTTCAAATTCCCCGAATTCAACCTCTCCTTGATTCGCGTCCTTCCAATTGGCTCCTGGCACTCCCTCTCTCTTCTCTCGCCCTCTGGCTCTGAAATGCACCTTCAGGTCATGGCCATCGACGCTCTCCACTGTCCTGGTAACTGCGCCTTGTATCGCCGGTTACCTGTTCGCTCTATTTCCTTCGTGACTCGTTTCTCTGAAAATTATTCAATATTCAAGTTGAAATATTATATGCACTGTTCCACAGTTTTGAAAATCTTGTGATCCCCATTAAGATAACCTTTCCATTGACTACAGGTTCGGTGATGCTGGTGTTTCGTGGGGAGTTTGGCTGCTTGCTTTATACTGGCGACTTCCGTTTGGAAGCAGCTTGTGAGAGGGCCAGGAGGAGCAGGAACATGCTCCTCGGTGCTCTTGAGGATCAAGTGGTTGACATTATTTACTTGGATAATACATACTGCAATCCTTCGTATGACTTTCCCCCTCGACAAGTTGCAGCTAACCAGGTACGCTCCCATCCTTACCCGTTTAAAAGGTTCAATTATGTTTCAATGAGCTCACTTTGACAGCCAGAGACCATGCCATTTCTACAGTAAAGAAGACCGAGGTTGGTTTGAGTTGGCCTGGATGGTTATCGTTTTGATTTTTTAAATGCAGCCTGTCACTGACAGGCAGAATTTGTTGCCTTTTTAAACCCTCTTCTGCAGCTTTTGAACCGTTTTTGCAACACCAGATAGTCCATGGACAATGGTGCATCTCGTGTTAAAATCTCATGTGATAAGTTTTGCCTAAAATCTAATGTGTGATAATATTGAGGATATCTGGACAACATGGAGGAATTTGTAAAATTGGTGTCTATAATGACGTAGGAAATGGGCAAAATAAAGCATTGTGTCAACAACTGAGCTTCTTGTAAACTTGGTTTTAGACTTTTAGACGCATTAGTGTCCTAACAAGAATAATTTTCTGAATTATTGGAGCTTTGATTTCAGGTTGTTAACATCATTTTGTCCCATCCTGAGCACGACGTCATTATCGGGATTGACACTTTGGGGAAAGAAGATCTTTTGTATCACGTTGCACGCGTGCTTAAAATAAAGGTTTCTTCCTATCCATTCTTGAGATGAGCCACAAAATTCAATTCACCGCACTGGGTCCTTTAGTAAATATTTTAGTCAAGGACTAAGATAAACATATCTAGGCCATTTAATTCTAATTAGCAAGACTGTCCAACTCACCACTTTGAACTGCTCATAACAAGTTTTTATACCTCGTTATATCTTGATATTCTATTAGAATTGACGCATATGCTTATATCTTGATTTTCAACATCATATTTTACCTGCATATTCTGTAATCCTTCTACAAAAATTCGTTTTTTCTTCGGTTGGAATGATAAAATTTTGGAGTTCGTTTTTCTCTGGTTCAATTTTTCACTCTTTAGCTTCTATTTTCAACTGAAGATCTGGGTGTGGCCGGAGCGCTTGCGGACTATGCATCTTCTTGGATTATATGATATTTTTACCACAAACACTTCTCTTACTAGAGTGAGAGCTGTTCCTCGGTACAGTTTCAGTATTGAAACTTTAGAGGCACTCAATAAAATTCATCCAACAATAGGAATCATGGCATCAGGTCTTCCATGGTTGAAGCCGGGCCTTCAAATGAGTAAAACTTTTTCTGGTTCCTTCCTGACATCTCGTTCTAAAAGAGCTCCGGGGAGGGCAAATTGTGAGTTCCGAAGTGATCGGCAATCTGGAAACACAGGAGCACTAGAAAGGCTTCATGAGTACATTTATTCAGTCCCATACTCTGATCACTCAAATTTTGCTGAGTTAAAGGAATTTGTAAAGCTTGTCCGACCAAACAACCTAAAGGGAATTGTGTCTTCGTCATCATGTTGTACTGAACCTATGTACTTAGGCAGACATTGTGGAATCAAGCAGCCTGCAAAACAGTTGCATATGAACCATACAAGCAAAGGAAGCATTGAACGAGAAGTCGCTGTCAGCACCAAAGCTTCATTTCTCAATGACGATTTTGTTGAGTCAGAGAGCAAACGACAAAAGACTTTGAAGGTTAAGTCTTCAGGATTTCGCTCAAGCAAATTCAGAGCGTTGAGAAGAATGAGCCGTGGTGCAAAAATATGGGAACACAACTCCTGATCATAGCTGGAAACTGTCTTGGAAGATAGTTTGAAAAATAATGGATGTTGGGCATTCATGGAGTTCAGAAACTACCTTGATAGTCCACGGAGCAAGTTATGATCTGCCTAACTCCTCGACTGAAGAATTTTAACGGGATATTGCTGCATCATAATCCTCTTTGTATAGAAAGTTTCTGGGAGACTTTTTCAAGAGAATTTATCACAATAAAGGCCTATCGATTTTATATTGGATATTGTCCCATCAAAATACCTGTATACTGATAAAAGTTAAACCTTGTATTTTTTGTTAGAGTTTCTTTGAAAATTGAAGTTAAGATTCAGCTTTTAACAGCAATTTATTTTCATAAAACAATATTTAATACACAATTAATTAGTCTTTATTGCGATAAATTTTATCAAGAGGGCTTTAAATGTCATTCTCTCAAAGTTTTTGATGGAGGTCAGGACGAAATATGATGATTTTTCTGTTTCTCATTTGCAATGTTCATTGAAAACCATGTTCAGCCTCTATTCCGCAAGGGAGAAGCGGTGTATTTTCCAGGAGAAATATCCTTGGAAAAAAATGTTTGGCAAAACCTTTTGCTAGAAAAATTAGTTTTTTTAGTAAATAGCATTAATTAAAAAAATCCTAATAAGTACAAACTAAGAAATATAAAGAGCAAGTTTTATATTAGAGTTAAAAATTATTTTTATCTCTAAAGTATTCATAAAATGTCATAAATAATTTTAAATTTAATTATAAATTATTTATATCTTTTAACTTTAAATATTTTTTATTCTATTACCTTACTTTTATCTGTTCATTTTTTTTTATTAGTGATACCCATATTTAAATTTTTTAATATTTTTATTATAAAGTATTATTTATAGTGGGATAAAGGCTTAATATAAAGTATTATTTATAATAAAAAATTCTACTTCCTCTCCTCTCCCCCTTTCTCCTTTCCCTCTATCTGCTCCTCGTCTTTCATTGCCTCTGCATAGAGTCAACACAACAGCTTTGATCGGACCTTGTTGTAGTGAGAGCAACCACAGCAAGGGGATTAGCACGAGGCATAGCTTGCATCCACAACACTTAAACCTTCCAACATCTTCTTCAACTCTGCCATGGAACTTGTCGTCATCAACTTCGGCCTCAACCGCCTCCTCTGTAACTCTAACACTTCAACCTTAGAGCTAACAATTCATCTTGTCAGATAGCCAACCAAACCCAACAACCTTATTCCTTCACAACCTTGTTCTTTTTCTTCTCTCCTTCCTCTTTCTCCCCTCCCCCACTCTCTCTCTCTCACCCTCCTTGTCGTGCCACTTTCATTTTCATAGTGACAAGTCTGGGAGACAAAAAGCAAGAGAGCTCGACGACATTGCTCTACCCTGCTCCACCAACCCTCATCATCCGTTACTAATCATTTGGAAGCTCTGCACAATCAGTTCCTCTCTCGGCTACTTCTCACTAAACCAGTTCTCTCTCTCTCTCTCTCTCATGTTCGCCGCACATACTCCCTGCTCGCACTCGCACTCGCACACTCTCTCCATGCATGGGGCAAGCAATGCGATGCTGTATGGGGTGGCGATGGAGATGCTAGTGACGGGGTAAAGGAGGTTGGGGAGGCGAACATGATGGTAAAGGAGGTGAGGGACATGGTGGGGCATAGAGAGGGAAAGGAGGGGGGGGGGGGGGGAGAGACGGAGAGTGTGAGACGATAAGATGATGATGAGAAAAAAATAATGTGTGGCTCACAAGTAAGATTTTATAATAAAAATATTAAAAAATTTAAAAATAAGTTTTAAAGATGAAAAAATGGACAAGAGAAATGTTAGGGTGGTCAAAAAAATATATGAAGTTGAAAGATATAAATAATTTATAATTAAATTTAAAATTATTTATAATTTTTTATATATATTTTTGAAATATTTTTTATTTTTAATCTTTTATATTATTATCCATCACCTTCGTACAAAAAGTTGGGAATTGATCAAAGGAACAAAAATTATTGTTAGGACTATGAGTTAATTTATTGAATAAATATATACGTAAATTTAAATTTATTGGCTTCTTTGAATATGAAATTAAAAAAAATACAAGTATTTTACATAGTAAAGTCTAACAATGTCAATAATGTCTTTAAAAAGGAGGGCAATAAAAAAATTTCTTAAAATATACAAGTGATAATGAGGTCATGTAAAATATCATAATTTTTTTTAAATTCCTAAAGATCTTTTTGAAATTAATAATTTTTTGTGAAATGACCAAAATACTCACAATTTAAAATAAAGAAATAAATATTAGTGATTATTTTTAAAAAATAATTATTTTTTTCTAACAATGACTAGAATGGAACAAGTAATTACAATTTTCTTTGTGTAAAATTTTTATTTACTAAAATTTAAGTGTTGTAAATATCTGTAATAATTTTAATTTAAACAAGGACTAATTTTCTTCTATCAATGAGTATAATAGGACAAGCAATTACAACTTTTTTTATAAATTAAAATTTGAACAAAAAAAGTTGTAATTGCTTGTTCTTGCACAAAAAAAGTTATAATTACTTGTTCTATTTTAATTATTGACAGAAAAAATTAGTCTTTATTTAAATTAAAGTAGTCACTAATATTTATTTTTTCATTCTAAATCGGGACATTTTAGTTATTTTATCAAAAATCTTTTATGTCAAAAAGGTAGGGATTTAAAAAAAATTATAATATTTTATGATATCTCATTATCATTTGTATATTTTAAGAAGATTTTGCTATATTTTTTCTTTAAAAAGCATTAGGTGCAAAAATTATTTGTTTGAATGAAGACAAAATCACTTTTTTGCAATGGAATGAACGAATTAGTAAAAGCCAATTTCCGTAACAAAATTTAAATTTAGATACATTTTTTAAAATCAATTCAATAAAGTAAAGGTTATTTGAATTATATATAGTGAAATATATTTTTAAATGTACAATTATCAAAAAAGATATTAATCTATAATGATTTGTAATTTTTGTTATACAAATATAATATATTAAAAATATTTAAAAAACATGATTAAAAAATTTAAATAAGATAAAATATGATATGTTAAACAATAAGATTAAAAAAAATTAAAGTTTGATATGCTAAAAAAATTATATAATAAATAATTCAACATATATTAATTATTAATAAGAAGGATAAATTTTTTATTCAAAAAAGGTACAGATGAGTTGGGTACTAGGCCAGTGCCAAGGCATAATGTAAGAGAATTATTATTATTATTTAAATGATGATTATATTTTTAATGAATTAATATTATTTTTTAAATAAAAGAATGGAAGGATAGGATGATGAAATGCAAAATAAAGTATATACCCATTAATGCTCCCAAAGTGCACTGCATTTTGGATGCTTTTAAATCCCACGTTTGAAAATTCACTTCTCCAACTTTTTGAATGTATGTTTGATTTTTAATTTATATTTAATAAAAATATATTTAAAAGATTCGATTCTTTGTTAAACTTGACAAAATAACTTTTTGAATATACTTTTAATTGTACTTTTTGAATGTACTTTTAATTGTACATTAAAAGATCATTTTTCATTATAAAAAAATATTTAAATAATTTTTCACATTTCAAAAATAAAAAAGTACTTTTAGAATGTGGGAAGTGAGATGTCCAAATAGAGCCTTATTAGTAACTATAGGAAGTTGGTGATTTTTTTGTCTCAACTTTACTTGAATTCTTGATCTATTTGAGGAACTCTAAAAAACATGTTCGAATCATATTTAAAATATATCTTTATCATATCCAACAAATAATTAGATTTTTCAAATAGATTTTTGCCAAATGCAAAATTTCAAGCATGCTTGGTTTGGTGTGGTGCAAATGAGCTAATCATTTGATTCACAGTACAATTTGTAACTATTTATATTGTATCTAGCAATTAATTGGTGCAAATACATATACTTGAGTTATATTTATTATATTAATAGGCATATGAGATTATAAAAATAAAAAAAATGCCAATAACATTTTGAGTTTTTTATTTTATTAATAGCTCATTAAGATATTTCGTCGTTATGATTTTCAATGATAAATTTTATGCATATATTTGGCCAAAAATCATCCAAATCAATGTTCTTTGTAGTTGAATTTGCATAATTAAACTTGATAGTATATTTTAATATTCATACATTGATATTTTATAACTCATCTTGGATTATGTGCAATATATCTACACCTATGGCTGTGTAGTAAAACCAACAAAGATTTGTCTAATTTATAAAAATTTGGTTTATGTAACCTATAAGGTGGCGAGATTAAATTTCATTATTATTGTGCGGACCTTATTGGTGGACTTTCTTTTACCCTCGAGGCATGTCTAAGCTGGTGATTAAATAATTTAGATGGTAGTAAAATATAATTTTATTTGATCAAAACATCCGCATTAATGAATTTTGTAATTATTTCTGACAAATTTTTGCAAGCAGTGAAATCAAAAGTTAATAAGGGCAAAATTAGGAGAAAAAAAAAGTATTTATTACTTTGTCAAATTTTAAAAGACAATAATTAAAACTTCGAAATGATAACTACTTTGAAACAGAAAAGGTAAAAATTAATTTTATTTTTGTTTAATCGAAAGCAAAATATTATATTTTGTACTAATTTTTTTTAAATCGAGAAATTCTCGCTGCGCATTATTGCGTATAGGAAGATTGTAATTGTATAGATTTGTTCTCTTGTGATGACTGAGAATTTTCCTTCCATGTTTGGTCCAGAAGAGCTCCCAATTCAAGATTTGTTTTTATTCTTCAACCTTCATCCTTCCTTTTTGTTTCAAGACTCCTCTAAAATTACGCTTGATAACCAATCGCTTATTGAATTTCCACACCATTGTTGGCATTTTGACTACCTTCCGTAAAATACACTTACACGGAATGTAACCATAATATGCACACACATTATAAACAAGAGAACCAGAATAATGATTACAAGTAAATTGATCACTGAAAGAGTCTGCGTGGAATGTTGAATAAACGCGTGGAAGCTCTAGAATGTATGGAAATGTTGAAGTTTCAACCAGCAAGGCGACCTGACTATTTGTTCAAATGCTATGTTAATGGTCGTTTGACTGGATCAACGTTCTCAAGTGACCATCATCGACCTCTACCGGAAAATTAACAGGATTTTTATGAGCAAGAGTGATAAAAAGTTTGGTTTGACTTTGGTTGGTGGTGGGCCTATATATGATATAGCATAAAGCATCATCCATCACCTTCCTCCTCCAGACTCGACCAGGTCAGTGTTCTTGACCACCAAACATCTCCCTCCTTTCTGAACTGAGAAGCCATGGACAACATGAAGAAACCATGGTTGTGGATTTCAGTTGTCATCCTCTGCTTCGCTTTTGACGTTCATTCTGCTTCTGGAGCTTTTACTGCCATCTCAGCAGAGCAATCTCTTTCTGGCGATCAAACTCTAATCTCTCGGAAAGGTGTCTTTGAATTGGGATTCTTCAAGCCAGGTAATTCCTCTAATTACTACATAGGCATATGGTACAAAAAGGTCTCTCAAAGTCAGAGGACCCATGTTTGGGTAGCTAACAGAAACAAACCGGTCTCTGACAAATATTCGGCCAAGTTAGCAATTTCGGATGGCAATTTAGTTCTCTTTGATGGGTCTCAAAAGATTGTTTGGTCAACAAACTTGACTTCTCCATCCTTGAGTTTTGTAGAAGTTGTCCTTCTTGATAGTGGGAACCTAGTTTTAAGAGAGAGGCCTAACGCAACAGAGTACCTATGGCAGAGCTTTGACAATCCAACTGATACATGGCTTCCAGGAGGTAAAATGAGATTAAATAATAAAACAAAACAGCCTCAATATCTCACTTCATGGAAGAATAGCGAGGACCCTGCAGAAGGCCTTTTCTCTCTAGAGCTAGACCCCAAAGGAAGCACCGCCTATGTCATTCTTTGGAATAAGTCTCAGCAGTATTGGAGCAGTGGTGCTTGGAATGGACAAATTTTCAGCTTGGTGCCTGAAATGAGGTTAAATTATATCTACAATTTCACATTTGTGACAAACGAAAATGAGAGTTATTTCACCTATACTGTGTATAATAATACTATTATATCAAGATTTGTAATGGATGTCTCAGGGCAAATCAAGCAATTTACATGGTTGGAACTCAGCCAGCAATGGAACTTGTTTTGGTCTATGCCACGGCAACAATGTGAGGTTCATGCAATTTGTGGTTCATCTGGAATTTGCAACGAGAATTCCATGCCATTTTGTACTTGTTTGCCGGGCTTTGAGCCGAAGTTCCACAGTAATTGGAATCTGAATGATTACTCAGGTGGGTGTGTGAGGAAAACAAAGTTACAATGCGAGGACTCCAATTCTTCAAATGGAAAGAAAGACAAGTTCCAGGCAATGCCCAACATGAAGTTACCTAAAATTTCTCCCTTTAATGAAGCAGGGAGTGCAGAGGAATGCCAATCAACCTGCTTCAGAAATTGCTCATGTGCTGCTTATGCGTATGATAGTAATGGGTGTTGTATCTGGCACGATGATCTCTTAAATTTGCAACAACTTTCCCAAGATGATAGCAATGGAGAAACTTTGTATCTCAAGCTTGCGGCTTCTGAGTTTCCCGATTCTAAAAGCAATAAAGGGCTGATTATCGGTATTCTTGCAGGCTCGGTGGGAGGTATAGGGGTTCTCCTAGCTATTCTTCTACTTGTGATGTTGAGGAGAAGGAAGAGAATTGTTCGAAGAGGGAAGGCTGTGGAGGGTTCATTGATGGCATATGGGTATAGAGATTTGCAAAACGCAACAAGGAATTTCTCAGAGAAGTTAGGAGGAGGAGGTTTTGGTTCTGTGTTTAGAGGAACATTGCCAGATTCCAAAGTTATAGCAGTGAAGAAGCTTGAAGGCATTGGCCAGGGCGAGAAGCAGTTCCGTACAGAAGTTAGTACACTTGGAAGAGTACAGCATGTAAATCTGGTGCCGCTTAGAGGATTTTGTTCTGAAGGAGTGAGAAAACTGCTTGTCTATGATTACATGCCTAATAGTTCTCTGGATTCCCATCTATTTCAAGAAAAGAACTCTAAGATATTAGGCTGGAAAATGAGGTACCAAATTGCTCTTGGAACAGCCAGGGGGTTAACTTATCTCCATGAAAAGTGTAGAGACTGTATCATACATTGTGACATCAAACCAGAAAACATTCTTCTTGATGCTGATTTTTGTCCAAAAGTTGCTGACTTTGGCCTCGCAAAGCTAGTCGGACGAGATTTTAGCAGGGTTCTAACAACCATGAGAGGAACAAGAGGTTATCTTGCTCCGGAATGGATATCCGGAGTGGCTATTACTGCTAAAGCTGATGTTTATAGCTATGGGATGATGCTTTTTGAATTTGTATCAGGTAGGAGAAACTCTAAGCCGTCTGAAGATGGCAAAGTTAAGTTCTTTCCCACCTGGGCTACAAATGTTGTTATTCATGGCGGCAATATGCATAGCCTATTAGACCCGAGGTTGGAGGGAAATGCAGACTTGGAAGAGGTGACACGAATAGTAAAAGTTGCTGCTTGGTGTGTCCAAGATGATGAAACTCACAGGCCATCCATGGGTCAAGTGGTTCAAATCCTCGAGGGCATGCTGGATGTAAATTTGCCTCCAGTTCCAAGATCCTTCAAATTGTTCGTGGAAGACGAGGCGAACATAGTCTTCTTCACTGACTCAAACTCAAGCTCCAATCAAAGCTCACAAGTAAGGAGCAACGTTTCAACAGCCTCCTCTCAAACCTAAGGCAACCTCTCATCTGCACCCTCCCAAGAGTAAGTTGCTGATACAAATTTTAGTACCATTTTTTGCCTTGAGGGGTGTATTTAGTTAATGTCTGATTAGATTCATGAGGACCTATATATTGCCCCGATGGTCATGTGTAGTGAAATGTTATCTGAAAGTGGTTATTCATTTGGGCTTGGGAAGTAGGATTGTATGAATACTTTTTCAGAAATTCTATATCAATTCCAAGAACAATTCTAAAGGCTAATAGGGAAGTGTGTTCTGTAGGTATCAGTTGATGATCTACTGAGATTTGAAATGAATTCAAGTGTGGATTGGCCATAACCCACAGTCTTAATGAATTAAATCCGGTACTCCAATCAATACTTTTACTAATCTTTTTTTTTTTAAGAAAATTATTTATTTTTTTATTTATTTTGGTCATTTCTGTGATGTTATTTTTAAAGATCAGGATGTAACTAAATGCTAAAAACTCTGCTCAACGATAGGCGACGGTTGTTGGCTTAGAGGTGAACCTTTACCTTCCGTACATCTCCATATGAGAGCAGAGGAGGAATCAAGAGAGAAGGAGCAAATCATCAGAGTTCTGAGGAGATTCACGTGGCCAAGGTAGCTAAGTACAAATTGTGGCAAAAGAAAAGAAAAATATGTTTCAAAGTTGAAGAGTATTTTAATTTTGGGTTTTCATTCATTAATGGACACTTGGTTCATTCTTGAAGACGCTCGCTTACTAAAAACTCTGGGTGAAGGAGGACAAACGTGTAGGTGATGCCAAAGTTGCAATTAGAGTGATACAAGCAACCACAAGCTCTTAGTTTTTTATGCCAGCTAAAAATGAAAGCAACGCGTTTTCTTTTGTTCTGAACTAGGAAACGGATAAACTAGAGGAATTTCAACCATGTCAAGGCACTTCTCGTACATTAGTTTAGTTAGTACATTGTCAAAATCAGTGATTTCTGCCAACCTATCCGTTTCGCTTATCCACTTTCTTTTTTTAGTTGGTTCTACTACTACTAGTGTTTTACAAATTTCATGATACTCTCTTATACTCACGCCAAGGTCTACTTGTTATATCGCTCTTCCGGGGAGCAACCTCGTTCAGTTATTTATAATATATAACAGAAAAGATTGAAACATTAAAATCCAAGAATAACACGACCAATCACTTACGAATTAAAGCACCTACAGTTTAATTGTACAGAAAGTTTACTGTTGATATCTGATACACGAAAAGAAATTGAGGCAAATTTGGACTACGTACGGAAACGCAGAAGGTTTCATAATGTGAGGATAGCCAGGGAGCGGGTGTGTTTAGTGTCTACAGAACAATCAAAGTACACAGAAGGTTTTGTAATGTGAGGATAGCCAGGGAGTCCAAATAAAAGGAGCTCATCTTCAAAACTAATTAATTTTACATTCTCTGATTCTATTTATAATGCCAAAAGAATAAAATTTTTTTAATTTTATTTATAAATCATGTTATTAAATATTAAAGATAAAAAATATATTATTGAAGTTATTGGTCCGTTTTACCCCCTAGACTGGAGACGAAGCGCGAAGCACCATAAAAAGAACTTTGGCATCCAAAATTGAATGCCCCTTGATGGTAGTTCTATGATGAGCCCGCGCCTACTCTATTGGACTCGTGTTGTTTTGCCTGCTTTCACCTTCACCAGAGACAACAGGTAGAGCCACGCCCATGTCAACAAGGCTCCCCAATACTTACCCAACATCACCGTCAACGTTAAGCTCAAGGCAACCAGGCATATCCCCAGCCACTCCGATTTCTTTCGCTCCCCTGATTTGCCCTCACGCCTACTTTCTTCGTAGCCCGGTTTGTTAGAGTGAAAAGACGCGTCTAAATTCTCTGATTCTGAACCCGACCTCCAACAACACGAAGGCAAACCATTTGAAGCTTTAGTTTCTGGAACGTTGGAAGCTCTGGTCGCTGGGTTCTGCAGGGTCGTCCCATCACGGGATGATCTGCGTTTTGATCCGCGACGTCTCGGAGGGCGAGCTCTTATATTCTGGAAGCAAAAAATATGGAAGCAAATGAGGGAAGAGGAATAGATAGCATTATTAATGTAAGAAAAGAAATTACCTGGAAGGTTTGGACGGCGAGAGCTTTGAGGAGCAGAGAAAAAGTGAGCTTGGGAGGAAGGGGGACAGAGGAAGAGCGATGGAGCGAAGGTGGAGGGTGGAGACGAAAGCAGGAAGAGAACCTGCTGCTCCTGGAAACGTTCTTCATGATTGAAGAATGACGATAATTTAAAGAGAGCAAGGAGAGGCCCTGTCTGTGTCCTACTATTTCACTGTGCGAAAGGCCGGCCCTCGTCACCCCCACACATACGTTTGTACATTGACAACTTTGTCTTTTGCAAAGAAAATGACAATTATGTTCAGCTTATTATTATTTATTTTTTTTAGCCAAAACGTTTTACTTGAATTTTGAATGCGCAAAGATTTTGCATTTTTTCAAGTATCCACAAGAATGAGGCTTTTGTATTTAGACGGAACTCAAGATGAGCTCGTATTCATAACTTATTAATAGTACAAGTGTATGTTTGAAAAACCTTTCCAACTTGGGCTCCCAACCTAAGTGCATGTTTGGATTATAACATAACCTCAGTTAAAGTGAGTCAAACCTCGGTTAGAGAAAAAAAAGTGAAAAAATAATGTTTGGATTAACAAAATATCTCAACCACAGTTAGAGCAAAACGAGCGTTTATTCAGAAGCTGATAGTTGAGGCTTTTTTCCTGGCATTGCGTTGATCTAACCGTTAGAAGCATTGATTATCTTTTTAATTTGTGCATGTTTTCTCTCTCCTCTCATTTATCCAACCCACGAGCTAAGTTCCAGCTTTTCATTCCAGCTTTCTCTTCTCCCGTGACCTCGCAAACTGAAGAACCAGATCAGAGCTCCACCTTCGTTGCTCGTCCGGCGTCCAAGCTCATCTCCACTGTGCTAAAGCAAGTGACCTCCAGCCGATCTCCAGCTTGCTGTCGTCTCTTCTTGTGTCCATCGTGTGCCTGCCCGGAAGTGGTCGTTCTCCCTGTTGCCCATCGGTCTCCAGCGTCGACCGACAGAGCTGCTCCTAGTCACCGGATCTACTGCCCGTAAGCTTTTCTTTTGTCTTCTTTCATTGCCTTCCTTGTTGCCTTTTCATTCATGGTCTCTGCTGTAGATCCCGAATCCCTGTTCCAGATCCTGAATCCCTGTTGCAGTCTCTTTTCGCATCTCTGGTCCATGTTCGTCTTTGTTGCCTTTTTCATTGCCTGCATTCTCTGGTCTGGTCTGTTGTGTTCTTTGTGTGGCATTTTCTGGTCTTTCACTGATTTGTGGTCTGCTGCATTTTTCGGTATTGCATTCTCTGGTCTGTTGCATTTTCTGATCTCTTGTATCATGCATGGAAGTTTCTTCTTCTTTTTTTTTAAAATTACAGCTTGGTGAAAGTTTCTGATCATCCTTGGCAGAAGGAGAAACTTATGGTTTCTGTTTATATTTTTTAGCCAGTTCAATTTTTTTCCTGTTCTGTGTTTTTGATTATCCTCAGGTTTGACAGAACAAAAGTAAGCAAGGGCTGTTTTTTCCTGTTCTATTTTTTTTCCTCTTCTATGTTTTTTCGGCCAGGGATTTGGAATGGAATGAAATGTGAACAAAATAAAAGTAAAAAAAAGTTTTATTAGCTTACCCTCATAAATAAAATTATATTTGTCATCTTTTATAGATTTAAGGATTGATCAAAAAATTCTTGGACTGGAATAAGGGCTGATCAATAAACTAGAATAATTTTATATACTTGCATAGAATGTGAAATAAATTATGTTGGTGAACCTTTGTGTTGCAAAAACATCTGTCCCCTAAAATATACAAACATGTAATACACACGCCTAATGCTTGGTGATTCTTCCTGTTTTTGTATGAAATATTCTGGAGAAAAAAATATGTTAAATTGATACATATATGTAGAGATATATATTGATTTTGCATGTTTGTGATGGCTGGCTAGTCTATACAACAATGAACAGAGACAAAGGAAAAGCTGTGTGGAATTCAACTTTAATAGAAATTTTCATTAAAGAATGCTTGGAACAAGTGTACAAGAAACAAAGGAAAGGAACTGCTTTCAACAAAAATGGGTGGCAGGCAATAATTGAGGGATTTGAGGCGAAGACAGGAAAAAAGTATGAGCGAAAGCAATTGAAAAATAAGCTAGATAACATGAGGAAAGAATGGAACGTATGGCATAAGTTGTTTTCAAGTGAAACCGGCTTAGGATGGGACAGTGACAAGAATACTGTTGATGCTCCAGATGAGTGGTAGGAGCAAAAAATCTTGGTATGCTTTAGTTGTTAAGTGTTTTTAAAATTAGAATTTAATTTAAAAATTTTAATTGTTGGTTATTTGAATGGTTGCAGGAAAATCCTCTTTATGAAAAATTTAGATATAAAGGTCTGAGATTTGCAAGGGAATTAACCTTGATATTCAAGGATGTCCTAGCAACTGGGGAGACACTTTTTGTACCGTCTGCTACCCAGACCCAAATAGAGGATGATGATGATGAGGATGTGTACCGCCCTACTATTGACCTTCGAGAAGGCTCCGGTGATAGTGAAGAAGAACTAAATTTATCTGACACTATAGCACCTACGGGGGTCACCGATGAGTTGTTGGGCTTGAATGTCACCATAAATACCGATGGAACTAGTGGTGATGGAAGTCAAGGCAAGAGAAAGAGGGTGGTAGGCGTTGGTGGGAGGAAAAAGCAAAAAGTTCCTGCCTCAATGAAAATAGCAGATGCGATGAGTGAAATGGCCAAGGATAATAGAGCTAAAACAGAGACAGTGAACAAGATTTTGGCAAATGACATAGGAGTTTCTGAGGTTGTGGCTCACTTAAGTAGACTTCCAGAAGTTTTTGGTGATAAAGATTTGCATTGGAGATGTGTCAATCTTGTTCTATATAAGCCTATGCGAGATGCTTACTGGCAACTTAAAGACCATCATGATCACTTGGTCAATTGGTTGAAGCACCAAGTCTACCATCTACCGGATTTTATTTCAAAGAATACATCAGGATTAATTTTTATTTAGGCTTATGATGACTTGACTGGTGTTTATTTTGACTTAAAGACTACTTGTAGTTGCTTTTGGCTGACTTGTACCTCGCTATGCTTATGATGACTTGACTGGTGTTTATTTTGACTTAAAGACTACTTGTAGTTTCTTTTGGCTGGTTTGTAATGAATATTTAACTCTTATCTAATGCTTATCTTATGCTTTATTTTTTATGTTATTAAATGATATTTATATACTATGTATTTTATATTATATACAAATGATATTCATATACTATTTTACCTCAGGTTGAAAATCATGGAAGATTCAAATGAATATATGTTAGGTTGGAATGAAGGTTGGGATGTAGATGTAGCTCATCAACTACTTCCCTTGTTACAACAAGATATATCTGAGCAAGAAGAAATATGTCAATTAGTTGGTGAATATGTGATGCCACATGTGTGTAAAGAGCCACGAAGAACTAGCAGGCAAACAGGGCAAATGTGGGTCAATGAGATTTTGCAAGGTCATCCTGATCGTTGTTATGAAATGTTTCGAATGGAAAAACATTTGTTTAGGCAACTGTGTGCGACACTAGTTGAGCTTGGTCTAAAGAAATCTAAAAAAATGGGAGTTGAAGAAATGGTTAGAATGTTTTTGAATACAATTGGACATGGAGTTGGTAATAGGATGATACAGGAACGATTTCAACATTCAGGGGAAACTGTCCATAGAAATTTTCATAAAGTATTAGCTGCCTGCCTTAACCTTTCCAAGGCAAACATAAAACCACTTGATCCTTCGTTTCAACGATGTCATTCAAAAATTCAAAATGATCCACGGTATTGGCCATTCTTTAAGGATGCTATAGGAGCAATTGATGGTACTCATGTGCCATGTGTGGTTAGTGTTGCTGATCAAATTAAATTTATTGGAAGAAAGGGATATGCAACACAGAATGTCATGGCTGTATGTGATTGGGACATGTGTTTTACTTTTGTCATTGCGGGATGGGAAGGTACAGCTCATGATGCCCGAGTATTTGATAATGCCATATCAACTCCTTCAATGCATTTTTCGCATCCACCTCCAGGTATATTTTATTAAAGTAACTATAATAATTATTGCATTAATTTAATATTGGTCAAATTTACAACACTTCCTTTTATTTAATAGGTAAATATTATTTGGTTGATTCTGGTTATCCAACACTAAATGGGTATCTTGGTCCATATCGTTGCGAACGTTATCACCTTCCAGACTTCAGGCGAGTTGCAGGATTTGCAAACAATAATGAGGTCTTCAATTATTATCATTCAAGTTTGAGATGCACTATAGAAAGAACTTTTGGAGTATGGAAGAATAGGTTTGCAATTATACGAAAAATGCCAAAATTTAAATATAAAACACAAGTTCAAATTATTTGTGCAACAATGGCAATACATAACTTTATTAGGAGAAATTCAATTACTGATGAGTAATTCATTCAAGCTGAAGATGAAAGTGTAGATGTCCTTGAGGAAGATATCGATATTGGTGAGGCATCCTCGTCAAATCTACCCGGATCATCAAGACAGATGCAACATGTTCGTGATATAATTAGAGACCAGCTTGTAAATCATATCAATTGAACATTAATTTATTTTAGGTTTTTGTAATTGAATATTTAAGATATTTTACTTATTAGTTGTGATTTTAAATTTAATATTTTTACTTATTAGTTAGTCTAAAAATATAATCATGCTTATTTAAGATTTAATATTTAAGAAAAAAAATTCATACTTATTTTTGTCATTAAACATTTTAACTGGTTTTTAAATCAAATTATCCAAACGAATTTCAGTTTATCTAACTAACTTTTAAAAATAAGGTATCCAAACATAAATCACGTTACATTAACTGACTTTTTTTTTAACCTTAGTTTGCTAACCTCAGTTGAATCTTAACTTCAGTTGTAAAATTTTTAATCCAAACACACCCTAAGTTGGAAGGCAAAAAACTCATTGGCACATGTTTAGAATAAAAGAGAAGATTAACGCACGTTGAAGCTAAATGGGCGTTTTGGGTGAAGCTCATCTAAGGAGCTTTTCACTGAGCGTAGGGCAGGGAAGACCACGTTGGGGATATTAAATGCCTTTTAAAAATTTGTTCTTCCCTTGCTATCTTTATCTTCACGAGAGTTTGTTTATTTTTTAGAGTTCTTCTCTCGTTTCTTTGGTT